GACTCATAGCGACCCCATGCACAGCAGAATGAAACAATGTCCGATCCTGGGCCAACCTCACTACCGCTGCCACACTTGAGTCCATCAGTGATGCCACCTGGCCAATCCATCTCGTTAGGGGTCTTCTGTTAGGAAACATAAATAATCACAGCAGTTACTTAGAAAGGAGCTCTGGTAGCATAGTGGTTACGAGTCGGGCTGCTAACCTCAAGGTCAGCAGTTCAAAGCTACTAGCCGTTCCTCAGGAGAAAGATGAGGCTTTCTGCTCCTGTAAAGATTTACAGCCTCAAAACCCTATAAAGGGTCACTGTGAGTCGGAACCGACTCTACGGCACAACTCTACCCACCACAGTTACTTAGTTTCCCTTCCTCATGCAGATCCTGTTTTGAGAAGTATTGGAAAAGAATTGCAGAATTCTCTTCCCACCATAACCATTCCCTCTTGGATGCTGTTCTGTTTAACAACTGCAATAGGATAAATTCAGGTTTTAGATGCAGCTAGGAGTCCTGGTGTGGCGCTGGACTGCAAGTTCATTTGAACTGCAAGGTTGGCAGTTCAAGCTCACCAGCCACTCCTCGGAAACCTTATACAAGGTCACTCTGATTCAGAATCAACTCAACAGCACTTAACAACAACAACAAATTAGATGTAAGGAGTCCTGGTGTGGTGCTATAACATAAGCACTGGACTAAACTGCTCCTAGAAAACCCTATACAGGGTCGCTATCAGTTGGAATCAACTCGACAGCACTTCACAACAACAACTAATCACAAGGTCAGCGGTTCAAACCCACCAGTCACTCTTTGGAAACCATATACAGGGTCGCAATGAGGCACTTAACAACAACAATTAGATGTAAGTTGGTATTGGATGTCTAGGATATAGACCATATTCACAAGAAGATAACAGCCTAGCAAGAAAGGTAAACATGGAAACAAAGATTTATAATGCAGTGTAAAATGAAGTCTTTTAGCCTAAATTAAGCTCTCATTTTGTCCTATTAATGTTTATCATAATGGGTGGTGCAAACACATCAGTTGCTAACCAAAAGAGTAGAAGTTCAAGTCCATCTGGTGGCACCTGGGAAGAAAGCCTAGTGATCTACTTCCCCCCAAACAGCCAGTGAACCCCCTCTGGAGCAGTTTTATTCTGATCACCGGGCCTTGGAGTCCACTCCACAGCAACTGGTTAACTAGATGTAAACAATCATGCTAACAGGGACAAGAAGGTGGAGCCAGTGTTCCCATCTCAATACGTCCCAGTATACTTGACCTAAATACCTTCTCTTCTTACAAAGGAATTTATCTTCATATTCTGCCTTCTTATTTTTCCATAAAAAGAGATACCAAGAGGCAAACCCCATTTAAAAAATATTGGTCTCCCATGTCTTTGTTACAGAGGGTCAGCTCAGTTCTGCCTACTCTGCCATCTTGCCTTGGAAGTTGGAGGTCTTCCTCTTTTTCACTGATCCTTTATTTTACCAAGCATGATGTCCTTCTCCAGGGACTGGTCCCTCCTGATAACATGTCCAAAGTATGAGAGACAAAGTCTTGACTTTCTTACTTCTAAAAACATTGTAGCTGAACTTCTTCCAAGATAGATTTGTTTGTTCTTCTGGCAGTCCATGGTGCTTTCAATATTCTTCACCTACACCATGATTCAAATGCATCAATTCTTCTGTGGTCCTTCCTATTCATTGCCCAACTTTCATACACATATGAGGTAATTGAAATGATCACGGCTAGGGTCAGGCATGCCTTAGTCTTCAAAGTGACATCCTGACTGTTTAACATTTTAAGATCAGTTAGCATGGCTTTTGTTCCCTCCACTAAGATAGATGTTAGGGGATTTACACAAGAAATATATGATAAACAACATCCTAATGTAGACTATGCTATGGGATAAAGCACTGGACCTCAAGGTCAGTTTGAACCACAAGGTCAGCAATTCAAACTCACCAGCCAATCTTGGTTGTTGTTAGGTACCATCATAGTGACCCTATGCACAACAGAACCAAACACTATCTGATCCTGGGCCAACCTCACAATCATTGCTAGGTTTGAGCCCATTGATGCTGCTACTACTGTGCCAATCCATCTCACTGGGGGGTCTTTCTCTTTTTCTCTGACTCTTGACTTTACCAAACATGATATCCTTCTCCAGGGACTGGTCCTCCTAACAATAAGTCTGAAGTATGAAAGACAAAGTCTGGCCATCCTGGCTTCCAAGAGCACTCTGGTTGTATTTCTTCCAACACAGATTGGTTTGTTCTTTTGGCAGAATACTTTCAATATTCTCCTCCAACACCATAATTCAAATGCATCAAGTCTTCTATAGTCTTCCTTATTCACCATCCAACTTTTGCACACATATGAGGTTATTGAGCACACCATAGCTTGGGTCAGGCGCACCTTGTCTTCACACTGACATCTTTGCTCTTCAACACTTTAAAGAGGTCTTCTGCAGCCACTCTCTAGAAACTCTACATGGGATCACTATGAGTTAGAATTGACTCGATGGCACTTAACAACAACCGTGTAGACTAACAGAGTTCACATGGCTATATGTCAGGGTTCTCTTTTCAGTTAGAGTATAATATGTCTTTTCTGTGAGTCAAAGTACAATATCTAAACCTCCTAGCTCCCACTTTTCCACCTCATTTTCACCCACCCTAAACTTTGACTCAAGGAGCTCTGGTAGCGTAGTGGTTATGAATCAGGCTGTAAACTGCAAGTTTAGCAGTTTGAAACTACCAGCTGTTCCGCGGGAGAAAGATGAGGCTTTCTGCTCCCATAAAAATTTACAGCCTCAGAAACCCTGTACAGGATCGCTATGAGTCGGAACCGACTCCATGGCACATAACAACAACAACAACAAACTTTGCCTCAAAACAAACCTTGCAAGGTAGAAGTTTTGTTACAAAAACAGGGGAGTAGTTAATCTTACAGTCCAGAAACAAAGGACCCTAGGACTGTCAAGGAAGAAGAGCACAAGCAGAATGCGAGACCTTATCCAGAAAAGCAGCGCGACACCAGAGATAGAGGCAGAGATGAGGACATGGAGAGAGGGAGCAGCTGAGGACTCTAGATTCATAGAAAGAGAGTGACTGAGAGCTGGATGCCAGGAGGCAGACTTGCAGAATGTGCCCTTTGGTGGTATAAATTCTTATATATGCCTGAGTGTTTTTAAAAAAATAGAGAGAACTAAAGTGCATAGAGAGAAATACTGCTAACTGACGGTACATGGAGGAGATTATAATCATTGTAATGAAACAAGGTATATGATTTGTTGAATGAAAAACTGATGATTTACCCTGTAAACTTTCACTCAATTCACAATAAAAACTTTAAATAATAATTTTTAAAACCTTGCCCTTTCATGCTTCTGTATGAAATCAATCAGAATTACCCTAGATTCATGACGTCCTCATACTTCCTTCTGCTGATATTCACTCAAATGTCAAAACTCCGCTAATATGTCATCTCCTCCGTGACACCTGTCATTTCTGAAGCAGGCTTTCTTTTGTGTTCCCATACATCGTGTACAAAGTCCAAAAACCAAACCCACAGTCACCAAGCCAATCCCAGCTCGTAGTAATCCTATAGGGTAGAGGAGAACTGCTTCTTAGGGTTTCTGAGTCTGTAAAGTGGTACTGGAGCAGACAGCTCATCTTTCTCCCTCAGAAAAGCTGGTGGGTTGGAATTGACAATCTTGTGATTAGCAGCCCAACACTTGACTCATTGAGCCACCAGGGATCCTTTAATTTTGTATGTTGGTTCCAACTCATCGTGACCCTGTGTAGAGCTTCTTAAAGGAGATCTGATAGTGTAGTAGATTACAAGCTGGGCTGCTAACCGCAAGGTCAGCAATTTGAATCTCCCAGTTGCTCCGTGGGAGAAAGATAAGGCTTTCTGGTCCCATCTAAATTTGCAGCCTCAGAAACCCTATGAGTCAGAACCGACTCGGTGACATACAACCACCAGCACTATACAGTTTCTGAGGAGCAGCTGGTAGGTTTGAACAACTGACCTTTCAGTTAGATGTTCAGTGCTTATCCTACAGGGTCACACCAGGACTCCATCTAGTATCCCATTGAGCCCAAAATATTAATTTGGGGGGATGACTCTTTCTGTGTACACCTCTAGAATAAGAGTACATAATCTACCTGACTTAAAGCATGCATTAAACAAGTATTTTTTTACTGAATGGGTAAATAAATGAATGAATTAGAAAGTGAATTGTGTAATATTTTAAAGAAAAAAGTAAGAATTTCTTAACATCATATTTGACACCCAGTGGCACTACCCCTCTTGGTTTTCCTTTTCTGAATGCCATCCCTCTGACTCTCTTCTACTTTTTTTTTAGATTTTGTTTTATTTTTGAATAGTTAATACAGACACATGATCTGAGATTCAACAGTACAACAGGAAATACAGTGGCATTCTTGTCCTTTAGTCACAAAGTTCCTCCTTCTGAGTCTTCTACTTTTGAATTCTACTTTTGAATGAGCACTTCCACATACCTCATTGGTCTCATTTACTTCTTGCTACTGAGTTAAGCAGTACCTGAACAGCAAGCAGGACTGTGGCCGTGTTTTGCAACGAGGTGCAGGGCAGTGTTTCCTTCCTGAAACAGAGACATACTTCAAGGAAGATCCCATGCCCAAGGAACACAGTCTTCCAACAGTGAGGGCTACAATGAGGCTTCTCAAAGTTTTCGTTTGGTTAAAGCTGAGGTCTTGAGTGTAGATTACATAAATCACAGCTTTAAGTGAAATCTATAAAGATTTAAATAAAAAGACAGAGCTCTTTGTTTGAACAAGTAGACAAAATCAGTCCATGTTTCTTGTTCTACTATTTCTACCATCTTGCTAGCAAAAAAAGGGGGTGAGGTAGGGAAGACAATAAAAGTAATTCCATTGAACCTATGTGAGGGGAAACTGATGAAAGACATCTGGGTGGTACATTTGGCATTCTATATCAAAAGACTTGAAAATGTGCAAAACCCTAGAACCTGCAAGTCCATGTCTAGGAATCTACTCTAAGAAAATAATCTCAGACGTTTACGAAAATATGGATGTCCATCATGCGGTGTTCCCTCTCCAGCAGACTTCAAGGAAGGGCTACGGAGGGTTGGAGCTGACAGTGGGAAAAACTATGCAACGTATTAACTTCACAAATGTTTATGGAGCAAAACCACCCATCTGGACAATCCATTGCACATGTGGGTTCACTTTACCTGGATATCATATGATTCTCTCTAACTGTACGAACATTTAACAACTCCATTTCTGACCAAAATGTCATCACCAAACGGATATCTTACACTCACTGTGACTCCCCTTTCTCTTGTTCTCACCAAAGAAATAAAAGCCCAGCTTACCTTGTCCTTTTCTGACGTGTGCAAATTAAGGGAGATACGTTGTTCAATCATTTCAACATGGCCCTTCTCAGCTGCCAAAAGAAATGGCTTTCTTCCTTTCTGAAAGTCAATCACAGACTTCTAGCATTCATTATACACTTCCTGAATAAGCCACATGGATACAAGACTAACAACATTTTAACCCCACATGCTAGTTACTGCTAAAAACTTCCATGTGTTCAAGGTGAGTAATGGGAGGGTGAAAACGGTTCTGGTAGTCATGGCATCCCATGCCCTTCTGAGGGAGGATGCTGAGAATCTCTCCTCATCTTCTAACCACTAAACCACTTTCACTCCAAGCTGTGGCACACCACATGAGCAAGGAGTCTGTTCACAGACGCAAAGAAGAACTGTTCAGAAAAGGTCCTTGCGAGCACCAAGGGAGTCACTACATCACAGACAGACAGTGACATTCCTTTTCAAATATAGCACTCTTTGGAATTTTCTGTATTTATTCAACAGCTCTTGCATGTGTGGCACCATAGGATAAGCCCTGGATCTCAATATCGGTTTGAACTGGAAGGTCAGCGGTTCTAACTCACCAGCCACTCCTCGGAAACCCTATGCAAGGGTCACTATGAGTCAGACCTGACTTGAGGGCACTTAACAACAACAACAACTTATTGAGAAGCTATTCTGTGCCAGACCCACTCTTAGACACCTGTGCATCACCTCAAGTCTTACTGATAAAATTGTTTGAAACAAAAATTCTCAAGGATTTAATATTCATGTAGCTCATGCAGAAATGATATTTTATCAACTGATTCTTTCTAGACCTTCTCTGTTCATATATTTTGCTCCAACATCAACTAAGAGTTGATAGAAAAACTCTTGCAAACGGGTCTACATGCAGTGGAAAGTAGAAATGAGGCATTTTCCGGAGAAGATAGCCTAAGAGGAGGTGTTTAGATGTGATCTGTTAGAAAGGGAAGTTCAAATACAGAAATGGCTCTTTATGCTTCAACATTCCATGTAATCAACGGAGATGGTATTTGTGATAGTCAAAATGTCATCAAGATAAGACGTAGAGAAAATTTGAGTGTCTAACTCAAGCTATCTAAAAGGATGAAAATGAGATAGGAATGACAGAATGGAGGGAGGAGTATTTTTTTCAACTAAAAAGAAGAAAACACTCACAAATTGGTTTGGGATGCAATAACTACAAGCTAAATAAGAGGTCTCTAATGAAAGGAGCTCTGGTAGTGTAGTGGTTACGACTCGGGCTGCGAACCTTAAGGTCAGCGGTTGGAAACTACCAGCCGCTCCGCGGGAGAAAGATGAGGCTTTCTACTCCCGTAAAGATTTACACCCTCGGAAACCCTGTACAAGGTCGCTATGGGTCGGAACCGACTCGACAGCACTTAACAACAACAACAACAATAAAAAAAAAAAAAAAAAAGATGCACGCCTTTTTTATAAGAAGATGTTCGAACTGAGATTTGCCATCTGATCATTTGCCAAGAGATCAGGACCACTTGAGATGGTTGCCTTGAGATGGTTGGTGTTAGGTGCCGTTGAGTCAGCTCTGACTCATAGCAACCCTCTACCCAACAAAATAAAGCACTGCTCCGTCCTGGGTTATCCTCACAATCGGTGCTATGCTGGAGCACATTGCTGCTGCCACTGTACCAATCCATCTTGTTGGGGGTCTTCATCTTTTGCTGACACTCTACTAAGCATGATGTCCTTCTCCAAGGATTTGTCCCTCCTGATAATAAGTCCGAAGTCTGAGTGATGAAGTCTCACCAGCCTGGCTTTCAAAGGAGCATTCTGGCTGTACTTCTTCCAACACAGATTTATTTGGTCTTCTGGCAGTCCATGGTACTTTTAATATTCTCCTCCAACGTCATAACTCAAATGCATCAATTCTTCTATGGTCTTCCTTGGTGGTGTTGGTTACGTGCCGTGGAGTCAATTCCGACTCATAGCAACCCTGTACAGGATTTCCGAGGCTGTAAATCTTTAAGGGAGCAGAAAGCCTCATCTTTCTCTTGCGGAACGGCTGGTAGTTTCCAACTGCTGACCTTAAGGTTCACAGCCTGATTCGTAACCACTATGCTACCAGATCTCCTTATGGTCTTCCTTATTTGTGTCCAAATTCCACATGCATATGATGCTATTGAAAAAAAACACGACTTGAGTCAGGTGCATCATAATCCTCTAACTGTTATCTTTGCTCGTGAACACTTTTTGGAGGTCTTGTGCAGCAGATATGCCTAGTATAATATGTCGTTTGATTTTTTTTTCTTTTCTACTTTTTTTTTTTTTTAGAAATAATCACAGTTTACATTTTAATCAATATTTTATCCTGATGTTGCATTGTGGGATAAAGCTCTGGATGGCAAGGTCGGTTTGAACCACAAGGTCGGCAGAACAGACTCAATAGAACTTAACAACAAACACACATACAACACATTACTTCCCTGTTACACATATTACTCCTAGTTCCTCCCTTCCATTAAAGATGTTTTCTTTCCCTTTCATTTAAAGCTACTCTTTATTGATTTTAACAAACTCCATGAAATATTTTATCTTCAGTTCCACATTAGGACTAGCCTTTAATAATCTGAAGATAGAATTCGTATGATTAAAGGAAAGCATTAATCTGAAACCCTTCATAGAGCTAGATGTAGCAAGAAACAATACTTGGGCACAAAGCAGATAAAGTTAATTATTTTATTATTATTAAGCAGGTTTTTGGGGAGACAAGGTGAGGCAGAGGCAGAGGAAGGAAGTCATTGGCACATTAAGCAAGTGTTAGGGGCCATTATTTGTTGTTGTTGTTGTTGTCTTTCTTGCTAGGTGCCATCGAGTCGGTACTGACCCATAGCTACCTTATGCACAGCAAGAACGAAACACTGACCGATCCTAGATCAACCACACCACTGTTGCCACGCTTGAGTCCATCGATGATGCCACTTGGCTAATCCATCTCGTTGGGGTCTTCCTCTTTTTCTCTGACCCTCCACTTTACCAAACATGATATCCTTCTCCAATGACTGGTTTTTCCTGACAATATGTCCAAAATATGAGAGACGAAGTTTGGCCATCTTGGCCTCCAAGGAGCACTCTGGCTGCACTTCTTCCAAAACAGATCTATTGGTTCTTTTGGCAGCCCATGGCACTTTCAATATTCTCCTCCAAAACCATAACTCAAAAGCATCAATTTTTCTACGGTCTTCCTTATTCACTGTACAGCTTTCGTATGCATATGAGGTTATTGAAAATACCATGGCTTGGGTCAGGCATACCTTAGTCCTCAAGCTGACATCTTTGCTCTTCAACACTTTAAAAAGTCTTGTGAAGCTGATTTGCCTAATGCAAAAGTTGTTTGATTTTTTGACTGCTGCTTCCATGAGTGTTGATAGTTGATCCAAGAATGAAGTCCTTGACAACATACTGCTCTTCAGTGAATGACCCTGAGTCATAAACAACTCTTGGGAAATGAAAGACCAAAAATCATGTGTGATTCATACAAATATCTGTATATGATGACCACAGATAAAAGTCCACATAAACAAGTTATGAAACTGAAATAAAAGACACTGGTTTATACAGGATTAAAACATTTGGTCACACATCCTGATAAATCATTCATTCACTTATCAACAATTACTGAGTATGTGCCAGATATTGTGTTAAGCAATAGAGTGACCAAAATGAAAAAAAATTACTAACATTTCCCCAAAGAGAGCATAGTTCAGCAGGGGAGACCGACAAATAAACAAGCAACTATAATGAAATTGGAGTAATTGAGTTCTAGAGATAGTATAACTCAGCAGGCGTAAGTGTGAATGAGAAGACATGCGACATATTGCATTAGGCAAATCTGTGGCACAAGACCTCTTTAAAGTGTTCAGGAGCAAAGATCAGTTTGAGGACTAAAGTGCACCTGACCCAAGCCATGGTATTTTCAATAGTCTCATATGCATGTGAAGTTGGATAATGAATAAGGAAGACCATAGAAGAATTGATACATTTGAGTTACGGTGTTAGAGAAGACTATTAAAGGTACCATGGACTGCCAGAAAAACAAATCTATGTTGGAAGAAATACAGCCAGAATGCTCCTTAGAAACCAGGATGGCCAGACTTGGTCTCTCATACTTTGGACATATTATCAGGAGAAACCAGTCCCTGGACAAAAGGTGAAGAGTCAGCCAAAAGAAGGAGACTCACAATGAGAAGGATTGGCACAGTGGCAGCAACAATGGGTTCAGCATGGCAGCAATTGTGAGGCTGACACAGGATTGGGCCGTGTTTCATTCTGTTGTACACAGGGTCGCTATGGGTTAGAACCAACTCAATGGCACCTAACAACAACAATGCACTGGAACAGGATAAAAGCATCTCTGTTACCACTTTCTTGCTCAGATTCTTTCCCACTGGAGAATAGCCCCTACCCTTCTTCATGGCACTGTTAAGTATAGGCTCCTGCCTCTCCTGCTATTCAACCCTAGTCACATGACAAATCACACTAATTAGAATCCACTATGGGATTATTGTTCTGACACACTCGAATTTTATACTAGGACACCAAACTGGGACGAGCACTTTCACCACGAGCTAAGGAGTATGTTCATAAGAATGAAGTTGGTGGTGGTGGTGGTAAGCACAGTCCAGTTGGTTCTGACTCATAGTAACCCTGTATAAGGTGTCCAAGGAGCTGCTGGTGAGTTTGAACGGCTAACCTTGTGGCTCAGTGCTTTATCCCACAGGACTCTAAGAATGAAGCCAGCACACTGGAAAACAGAGCTGAAAAATGCAAAGAGAGATACAGAATCCTGGTGAATTGTTGGATTCAGACATGCCTGAAACTATTCATGTCTGATTTTTCCATTGAATGAGTCAATATATTCCCATCCCCACCCCTACTCCCAGAGAAGTTTGAGTTGAGTTTCTGTCACCTTTTACTAGCAGAGCTTAAGTGAAGAAAAGAGTTGTATCCTGCAGAATTATAAGAATGACTGTAATACCAACCAGGTACTGAATGAACTAAATAAACATTCAGACTCACAAAAGCGTAGCCTGTGGTCTACACTTGGTCCCCACTCCTATCCC